CGGCGGAAGTCCGCGCGACAGCCAATCAATGTTGTTTTTCTATAATGGTTCCTGCACACAGGATGCGGTAATGCTTGCCGCGTCCTGTGTGCAGGAGCCATAAGAGCTAGAAGATTATTACGGAAAGTAGCATTACTGCGTCCTGTGTGCAAGAGCCATTAGACCAGCCGACTCTTATGCAGGATTCACACTGTATCCGACATACAACATTCGATATCCAATAGAAGAGCTTTCTAATAGAAAATTCAATTCTCCATTGGAAAACTGTTCTCTTATTGGATATCGGACGTCGTACGTCGGACGCGGTGTAAATCCTGCATTAGGGGCTGCTGCGCCGGAGGATCTGGCTCGGGGCGAGCGGGGTCAGCTCGAAGGTGAGCTTCATTAATTAACATTTGTAATTATAAATCCAACAAGATTGATAATTCTTTTGTTCGAAATCGAGAATTTGAATCGAATCAAAGATCGCATTAAATCGTAATTACACGCGGGGAGAATTTTTTCTGAGTAACATCACCTCTTGAAAAATTTTGATTTGTTCTGATTAAGAGATTTATTTGCAACGTCAAGAAAAAGGAAAGTGGAATATTCCAAGTGTGAAAGCATTTCAAAAAATTCTTTCAACGTGAAAAATATCGCGCTTATTTTTTTTAATCCTTCAAACTTCTTCACTCAAATCGATGCATAAATCTAATCGGTGAAATGACATTTTTCTGTTCCAGAAACGAAAGCAGAATGTAGCTATTCTGATCAGCGGTTTGGTGAGTCAAAACAAGAAACATATTGATAATAGAAAGACGAAAAGTCTTTCGATGTAGTGCATGCTTATCGGATCAATGCAATTTACTTTGCTATAGTTGTAGTATGTGTACGTGCCATCCAATAAAAATCACACAGCTCGAAACAATTGGAAGATCGCTTTTTCAAATAATAATATTAGTGATAATACATTTTTTACATAAATTTTCAAGTACTTTTCTCCTAATGTACATATATTTATTGATTAACATGGATTATTGATTGGTCGACGATTTTTGTCGAAGGAAATTTTGATTAATCAAACCTCAACACTATTTGGAAGATACTTAAAGTATTGAATATATGTTCTAAACATTCAAAATTTTGTAAAATTATTCAGTTTTATTGAATACGATCTTCCAAGTGTCGCAAGCAGTGCGCCAACGCGCAAAAAGATTGCGCCACAGAAAATGCGCAATCACATCACCCGCGTCATAGATTTTTCGCCGGCCGTTAATTTTCTCAATTTTCTCTCTCGCGTGAGTTTGAATTGCGATTATATTTCATGAAGTAGAATTTGTTATTAAGTAAAATTCGATATCGTGTGGCACCTGCACGAAGCAATCTAACGTGATTATATAAACTGCTCGCAAAATTAATGACACGATCGTTGGAAAATTTTCAGGTTTCAAATTTTCACTTAGAAAATCCGCGTTTTTCTAACGCGGGACACAATAAAGACAATGCTAGCAAACGTGCTTGATCCCTCGCAAAAAACGCGATGTACACAAGTCAGACATGCGAGCAGTTGTTTATTTACGCAGTATGCGATAAGTTCCTTCGAATGAAGATAGACGTCTCACGCGGTAACATTTTTTTCGCGTGAATTTTGAATAGAATCTTTATTTCTATCTTCACAATTTTCATAGTTTTCGATTTTTCATTCACGCTCGCGTTTGCGATTATTAATTTGATAGGTTTGCGAATTTCATCGGACCGTATTTGCAGAAGAGTCGCGAACGAACTTCGCAGAAATATAGCGAAGCTGTTATCCCCAAAAATATTGCGAAATTGTTTTCGTAAAAGTATTGGAGCTGTTATCCGCAAAAATATTGCGGAATTACATTGCAGCCTACTACGCTACTCCATCGAAACGTTACATTAGGAGTATTCCGTATCGTATGTGAAAATCTCACGCGATCCATATCCATTGATAAAAACTTATAATTTTTTTAATTGGATCATTCTTGCATAACAATGGCCAATTGAAATTTCGACTCGGGAGGCTTTCTTCTTATCGGATTATTTCTTGATGATATATCAAGAAACGTAAATCAATTAAATATCAATATATATCTACATATATATAAAATCAGTACAGTTGGATTCATAAATATCTTTATTCTTCGGTATTCTTTACGGTATCTAGAGAATTGGATTTATTCGAGTTGGCGCATCGTTTCTCAATAAGCGTGAATCGTGATTGTTAGTTACTGAAAGAACCGACAATTAACAGTCACGATTTACGCTTAGTGAAAAACAATGCGCTAGATTTAAAAAGTCAAATTCTCTAGATACCGGAAGTGTAAAGGCATTTATGAATCCTAATGTACATCGGTAAATAAAGATAACATTTTCTACGTCTTGAATCGTTTTAATCGCCTCTATATTATCGACGCTTAGCAAATTTGTCGTCCACTCCAGCATCCTCTTAAGCCGGGATTCGAACCGAGGTGTTTCAAGTCTCCGATATTATTCATATTATTATAAACTACTAATTTCAAAAAATAAAATGAATTGTGAGATAGTATCCTTTATGTCACCTTGATATCTTTAGTGGTTGCCGAAAAATGCGCAAAAAATGCAATCGGTAGTAAAAAGGCTGTCAGCGACATCGAAAAGTACGTACACTTCCATGGCTAACCGTTATTAATAGTATTATTATAGTATTAGTATTATTAGTATTATTGTAAATTCTGAATTCCAATAGGATAAATTGTGGAGAACTTTGTTTTCTTTGAATCACATCGATATCTTTTCTGGCTGCCGAGAAATAAGCAAAAAATATGGGCGACATATCTAAGCTTGTATATTTATTTATTGTTTTATATTGTCCAATTTCCAAATCTTTTTTCCTTGCAAAATTACGCAAAACGCAGCGCGAGAAAGATGAGACTGATGAGAGATGATCTAGTTTTGCGATAATATCGCCGCTAGCTCGCTTCGTGCCTACGTCGTGTAGCATCAGTGGTGAGACAAGAATAGAGCGATTGGACGTCTGTCTTTTTCTAACTTACTATCATTATATGGAAGTACAACGGGTACGAACTAGGTGCATTTTATCGTTACCACCGCGAAAATGCGTGTAACGAATGTAGTAAAGGCGCATTTTATTAGATAGCGTCTCGAAAATGCGTCTAGCTCTGGCCATTGAAATCAGGCCAGTGGCCGCTCTCATACTTCTCTCTGACGTAATATAAACTATAGATAAATGCGCGCATTGTGTAAAACGGAACACGATCTTAGTTGATCCACAGACAAATTAACTCTTTAAATATCACTGGTACCAATAGGGACCACTTAGGATCGGGCAGTTGAAACCTTATAAATGTACTATTTAGAGTGCTTTTGACAATATTTCATTAAAAAATGTTATTAGAATGTTTCATCGTGCGCCTTAGACCAAGTTCCACAACATCCGTTTAATTTTAACGACCAGTTAAGACCCAATAGTGATTGGTTAATTCTGATTAACTCTTCTTAATGTCAAATGCGATTGGTCAAGTCCAATGGAATAACCGGCCAGTTAAGTTAACTGGAAGTTATGAAATTGTGAGCCTTAAAGGGTTAACACATATATATTTTAGATAGTTTTATCTTCAGAAGCCCGATTCGTGACAACTTGTAAATAAGATGCGCATGCAAAAATCTATAATTCACGTTACATATACTATAGATTTTCGTATCTCACATGTGTATCTCACTCGCATATCATCAAGAATCGAGCCCTAGATGCTCCGTAGTCAATTAGTCCATTTGCATGTAACACTGTTTACTATTATTGAAATTATCTAATATAATAATTTATTTTCGAAGGTTGTCCAAAATACGCTCTTTCTTTGTTATCTTTGATTAGTTTACATCTTGATTACTTTGCATAAATACTCGTAGAGTCGTGAAATAGGAGAGTATAGTCGATATATACTGTAACAAACGTAATATGTTAATATTTTAATGTTGCTATGATTCAATCATTTATTATTTATAAACTATTATAGTTTTGATATTTTTTTTATTCTAGGTTATATGTGAATAATCAATATAACAATAATATTAAAACTTTTTTTTACCGATGCATAGTAATTCAAAGATAATGAGGGCATGATACCAGATATCGCAATAGTTGTTGGTTTTTGTGATCTCATCAAAATGATTTGTAAGCTTCTCTGTAGTTCTAATGACTGCCCGTACCATTTTATATCATAAATAGCTTCTCCCATTTTGCTGCTCTAGAAAAGAGGCAATGCGTATTTAAATGCATAACATGCAGAGTTAATGCATAACATTTTCTTTAAAATAAAATCATTCTTCTAGGGATGAAGTAAACTTACAATTTCAATTAAATGTTCTGCTGGCCAAGTATACATAATTACTTCCGATAATCCACTACAAGCTAAACTAATGCATTCGATCTTCATTGGCAATGGCTGATCCTATTTAAAATAATTCTTCCGGTACATTAAAATATTCCAATAAGAAATAAAAACGATATTACCATGTAGATAAATGTTTACCATGTAGATAAATATATAACTTTATATATTACTTGAAAATTAATATTAAATTATATATTACTTGTTTAATTATAATAGTCAGAACAATGTGACAGCAATGCTTTTAGGATCAAATAGTTAGTGTTTCACAACATATAATATTACATGTTACAATAATGAATAATAAAAACAGACACTTACAGTAATAAAAATAAGACCAATTATAATTAATCCGAAAGTACTAAAAGTTATAGTTATAAGTGCATAAGGACGTATTAAGTAAGCAACTTGTTCTGCATATCTAAAATAAATGTATCATATCAAGTTAAAATATCTCATTTTTTTATTAAAAACAATTTTTAATAATTTCTAGTCATTCGATATCATAAATAATGGAACTATGATATAATTTTCGTTTTTAATTTAGTTCTAAAAAAATGTTAATTATTTTGATTTTCAATAATGTAATATCGTAAATAGAAGCGTAGCAATCAACACTCAATATGTAGATCTGTTACATCAATATATATGTAATATTAATAATAATTTTGACAAATCATAATGAATATTTACTACATGCACAACATTTAATATTAATATTCAATAAATCTCACTTCAGCAATTTCTGATGTTCCTGAACACATTTCATTAAATCATAAATATTTGTAACTGCACGCAGCTTCTTTATTAGTAATTCAAATCTTGCTGATGTAAACAAGAGCAGAAACGCTGTGAAGAAATTCAGACATAGGTGCGCAGCAGTTTGTAGCGCACATATAGATTGGTGAATAAAAAGAATAGATCTAACCGGTTGGTGGTAAATATCGAATGGATATTCAGCATTTGTCGGAAATGGTTGATCCAGTGCGACGGGTGCAGCGATGATAACAAAAACGAATAGATATATACAAGTCATACAACCACCACAAAAGAACGCGTACTTGTCAATATATTGTTGGCAGATAGCTTCCTCGTCAGGTTTGATTAATTTACAAAAATTTTCCAATTCGAAAATGACTAACTGGAAGTCAATTATATCCACTTATATATACAAAACAGATATGTGCAATAATTAACATTATTCTGACATCTTATAAACAAAAAGATCTACATTAAATATACTTGTATTAATTACTTGCATACGATGAGAAGTAATCCTATATAACACAATATTGCATATAACATGCATTGTAGGACAGATAAATATTATCGCTTTTAACATAATAACAGGATCATTAAAATTGTTTTTAGTAGTATTTATCAGTCCTAGTATCAAGCCTATGTGTAAAATTACTGACGAATAATGATATAATGCCACGCAAATGATTTTCAACTTATTTACATCTTTTGGGAGAGGCCAAAACCAAGTTAAGAACAAACTTAATTTTATCATGTCGATTGTTTTCCTCAATGTTAATTTTTCTTGCATGGTTTCGTTAACATGCGTATCTGTTAAATATATTATTTATCACAAAAAATTTATCGAAAATTGGCTAACTTAAACAATTCTCATGATATAATAAATACCTAGATAACACAGAGAATTAAAAAAAAATTCGAAAAAAATTCAGTCGTATGTCGTATGAAAAGAATTATTTTTGCATCTAAAAATGAACTTAGAATCGATGACATACGACTGAATTCTTTTTGAATTCTCTGTGGTATTTGGGTATATAGACATAATTAAATGGACAAAGTAAGAATGTTATTCAAATTTAACTTAGTAAAAAATCCTTTTCTATTCTTTTGTAATCAATAATGAAAACTATTACTCATATAAATAGTTTGTGTAAGTTGCGTTTAATAAAAATAATAATAAATTATATAAAGACAAAATAAAATAGACATATATAAACAATATATAATAAATTATCCATGCTTAATATTACCACTTTTTACTGAAATTACTGCTTCCAAATGAGACATGGAATATTTTTTACTAATTTTTGAAGAAAATCTATACTTGTATGTTTAAATGATACAATCTATTATAAAAACACCAAGAATAATTATGAAATGCTCACAGATTTTGTAGATGGTTAATATAAGGTACTCTCTCGGTTATAGAACTTTCGTAAAATAAACGCTAGAACATCGTGCCACCTGGTATAGATCTATATTGTGTTAGCATCTATAGCACCAATATTAATTATTAAAGAAATGTAGGAAGTGTAAATACCAGATAAATTAATTTAATATATGATTACATTATTTTGCCACGGTATAACTCATCCGTTTATGTCAGAAAATGCAGCTTATAGAAAATCATCTTGCTAACGTTTATATAAAGCGAATATATAAAATGAAAGAAGAGTAAATTATAGGTCATGGAAAGTATTAAAGTGCATCAATACGTTATAGAATAGCAATTACTTTAGATATCCAGTACTCGGAATAAAATTTTCCATAGCAGCTTTAGTCACAATAAAATGTTTCAGAAGTAAAGAGGACATTTTATCTATCGTGTGTAAACTATATAAGCGTATCTAAGGTAATTTTTTGTTGTAAGAAGTTAGTTTTTTTTTTAAATGTGTTTTATTTCTTCTTTTCATAAGGATATAGAGATCAAAAGTATTTGTCTTAATATTTTTACATACTAACTGTTACATGTGTTACATATAAATTGTTTTATGAAAAAAAACTCGAGAGAAAAAAAATTCATAAGATAAAACTTCTATTAAATATATTAAGTTGTTCTTATTGATCATTGACGATTATGTAAATGTGATAGTATATAATTTTTTATCTTAAGAGAGAAATTATTAGAAGCGCGCTGACATCAGAAAATCTGTGAAGTGCTATATTTCAATAAGAACTTTATAATTATTAAAAAAAAAAACGCCTCACATATTTTCTAATGTCATTGATCCTAAGGCTGTAGCCCGCTGGTCGAGCTGGAACAACAAGGAAAAGTAAACATAGCGTCCTTGAAAATTGCCGTGATTGTACAAGTAATTCCAACAGTTCAAACAAAATTATATATTTTTTTAAAATCAATAGTTCGAGTTTTTATCTTGGATAACATTTTTTAAGGGTCCAGAATTTTTTCAAGTTCACCGCTGGAAATATGCTTAGTTTCAAGATTAAAATTTCGATATTGTCATTTACTAAAGTAATGTTAATCTTAAAATCCAAAATATCAAAAAGTTACGTAAATACTAAACATAGGCAAATTTTACCTAACGCATTTTCATTTGCTCAACTATTCATGAACTATTTCATTTTATTCATGCTAATTTTCTTAAAAATGATCAAAATTTAATGCTTTTCTTTTAATCGATGTAGAAAATATCGAGAAATATGAATCTATTAATGTTTTACCGATTCAATGAAGTTGAAAAAAGTTATAATAGAAAAACAAAATATATTTCTAAGAACGATAAGATTAAAAAAATTTTTCTGGATAAATTTTATCCACGTTTAGGATTTTAAGGCTAAATAAAAGCAGATAGCAAACAAGAGGTTCCAGAATTTTTGCACGTGTTCGGCATGTCCTTTGAACTATTCTGGGATTTAGCATTTCCTGGTTATACCCAGGATTATTTTAGAATGTCTCGTGCTATTTAGAAATTTAATTTTGCCTTATTGACGAAAAGCATTAAATATATATAATCCATGTGTTTGTAAAATAAATATCATTAATAATACAAAAATATAAAAAATGTAGCTACGTATAAATAATTTAAAATAATTTAAAGAAAATTCATGAAAGATGCAGAACAAACACGGAAGTCAAAACGTGAATTCCTCCATGCTGTGGAAGTCTAAAATATCAAATATAATATTGTGTTTCCTGATATAAATAAACAAAGAAAGCGAAGATAGCAAATATAAATAAAGCAATAATATAAATATAAAAAAATGTTATATCTTTATTGTCAAAATATTTTAGTGAAACTAAGGATGCGTTAGCACAATTCACTATATGTATATGAATAAATTTTTGTTGTTAGAATGAATAATATCTAATGAAATTGTTAGACAATATGGCAAAAATGCTTCAATTACTTGCATATTCTATAATTTAGCGATTTTCCTCCTCTCGCCTTCTTTAGAAGTGTATATTCATATAAAAGTATAGAAAATAATCCTTAGGACTATCTCCTGTGGTTTTATCCTAAAGTTATCGAAGACGCTATATTCTATGAGTATAAAGTGTCAGAACTATACAGGATGTCCCGGATTACTTTCACAATCTCGGATTGAGATGAACACAAAAATCCCATACCGATATTCACAATAATAGTCGAAATATTAATTAGATAAGATTGGTGAATAATCACGCGCGATATGGTAGATGAGCTGCACCATCTGTGCACCATGAGTGGCACCATCTGTCGCTGTATACTTATACATTAAGTCAAACTGAACAAAAAAGTCTTCTACCATTTTGCAAGTGACCACATAGATTTTTAGATATTAAAAAAAATTAAAGCAATTAAAAAAAATTTCTACATGATTGTGTATCATAATATATAAATTTTCTTTAATTAATATCTAAAAATCTGTGTGGTCATTTGCAAAATGATAGAGGACTTTTTTGTTCAGTTTGACTTAATGTATAAGTATACGACGGTAGACGGCGCTACTGCAGCTCTTCTACTATAGCGCGCTTGATCATTCACCAATCTTCTTTAATTAATATTTCGACTATTATTGCAAATATCGCAAAATGGTATGGGACTTTTGTGTTCATCACAATCCGCTCTACGTCCTCACGAGAGATTGTGAAGATGATCCGGAACATCTTGTATATTACATTAATACGTGCGATACTTTTATGTGCTTTGTAATATTCAATTACTAGCGTATTTTATAATTTAGCAATCTTCTTCCTTGCATCAACTTCTCTTCCCCCCTCGATGTGTATTTATATAAATATACAGAAAATAATCCTTAGGACTATCTTCTACGGTTTTATTGAAGACGTTGTATTCTGTAAGTAAAACATCAGAACTATCTGTTATATTAATGCGTCCGATATTATTATGGACTTTGCAATATTGTGAATAATAATTCTTAATTAATAGTTAAGATAATTAATGAAAATTTCCTCTGTTATGTATCTGTCTACCGTATCGTTAAAAATTTTATAAATTTAAAAAATTTTTTTGTAACGTATAATTCGACGTATGTGTGTGGGATTTAATATAAATATGATAAAGAAACAGGCGCTAAAGAAAGTGATCAACATCATAAAATTAAATTTATTTGTAACTAAGCCGTTTCCAAAAGATGTAATTAAATTTAAAGTTGTCTGTGCGGGTCTGTACTAATATATGTGTTTGATTTTATCGTTTGGCATAACCTTAGGAATGACGAATACAGTTAGAAACCACCTCGATGATCTATTCACTATAGCAAAATCTCTGATCCTTATGTATCATACTAATTACATGATTTGCAATATTGTGAACTGTTAGATTTATTTCTATCATCTACAAGTAATTAATATAAACATATTTAGTGCCAAAATTTTTAGATGTTTAGAAAGAAAAATCAATTTTAGAAAGAAAAATCAAATTTAGAAAGAAAAACCAATTTTATCGTTATGTGTATCCTGTATCAAACATCATACTTATTGGTTGAATTTTTTTGGATAATTACAATAATCTGTTTAAATCTAATAAAATTTATCAAATATAAATTAAATAAATTTTTTCTTCTTTGCATGTTCTGCAATTGCACAAGCAATAACAATAATACTCTCACACACACAATAAAATAGACAAATTGTTTTAAAATTATGATTCTACTAGATGCGCAACTAAGTTTCCGGATTTTTTTGATCAATAAAAAATGGAAAATTTCAAGAGAAATACAAAAAATGGTTTATTCAAAGTATCGTCCCTCACTAGCTACACATTTTTGCCATCTCTCTGGCAATACATGAATACCGCGGCGATAAACGACGCGTCTTTGGACCGAAACCATTCATCCAACCAATTTTGCACTTCTTCGAAATTGGCCAAGTGTAGCCCAGCTAAGCCATGCGCCATCGATCGGAACAAGTGATAATCGGAAGGGGCCAGGTCTAGTGAATACGGCGAGTGCGGTAGCAGATCCCATTTCAGCGTTTTGATGGTGTCTTGGACGATGGAAGTGCGATGGCACGGAGCGTTGTCGTGCTGCAATATCACTCGTTCGTGTCTCGTGTCTCATTCTGGCCGTTTTTCGAGCAATTCATGGTTCAAATTGATCAGTTGTTGTCGGTAGCGATGCCCATTGACAGTTTCGCCCGGTTTCAGCAGCTCATAGTACACGATTCCTTTCTGGTCCCACCAAACGCAGAGCATTGTCTTCTTTCCAAAGCGATTTGACCGTGCCATCGATGTTGATGCTTCGCCAGGTGAAAGCCACGATTTTTTGCGTTTGGGATTCTCGAAATATATCCACTTCTCATCGCCAATAACAATTTGATGCAGGAAACTCTTTCTTTCATGCCGCAAAAGCAAAATTTCGGAAATGGCTCTTCGATTTTCCATTTCTCAGTCAACTCATGCGGCACCCATTTTCCTTCCTTTTGAATTTTTCCCATGGCATGTAAACGTTTGGAAATACCTTGGCGAGTCATGTTTAATGCCTCTGCAAGTTGATCTTGTGTTTGCGTATCATCTTCATCCAATAACGCTTGCAGATCGGCGTCCTCAATTGTTTTTGGTCTTCCGGAGCGCTCCTTGTCCTTAGTGTCGAAACCGTCACTTCTGAAGCGTTTAAACCAATCTTCACAGATAGTTTTCGATGGTGCATGTTCGCCGTAGGCCTCCTCAAGCAAACGACGTGCTTCAGCTGCATTTTTTCAAGTTAAAGCAGAAAAGCAAAGCTTCCCGCAAATGCTGTTTATTTGGCACAAAACTCGACATCTTCATTGTTAGAAAAAATATTTTTGCGTTGCGATATATGTTGGTATTATGACTGGTTATTGTTGACAGATGTCCAAGTTATAAAAGAAACACAACTTTAGACATGTATGTCGACTACATGTGTCGTTAGCGCCATCCATGTGTGAAACCCGGAAACTTAGTTGCGTACCTAGTACAAGTATTTTTTATATTAAACATTTTTTAACACTGAGAATAATAAATAGAAAATATATAAAAATATTTTTTATTTAGAAAATATATAAAAATATTTTTTGCTTAGAGTTCTTTCTGAAAATAGCAAGAACTCACAAGTGCTACAAAAAATGTAATACAGTTAATTTGAAACAATTTAATACATTTTGTGTAAAACTGATTCAACACGAAAAGAAATGATAAAATAAGAGCCCTACCACAGTGAACATCACATCTTTGGCGAATTCCGTTTAATGTTATACATACTTGTTAATTTCTTGCTTCTCTGCATGATATAAAGGTGAATATTATAGATTTAATACTATCCGCGATTATCGTGCAAAACAATTTCCCATAACAGTCGGTGCATCACTATATTTCTTTTTACTGTACATCTCAAGCTTTCGTAATATGCGTTTTATAAGTATAACATTTTTAACTATGCCGAGGAAATAGTCGAATAGACTAAAGTGTATGCCGCATAAATATTCAATGAATACAATATACATCTCTTTTCATAACATTATTACGCGTGCGAATGACAAGGTATATTGTGTAATCATGCTGTTACACATTAAATATTTATATATTATGAACCAGCATTAGAGTGTAACTTCGACAGAGAAAATATAACGTAAGAAGCAATTGAGAACGAATGTAGGATCCGGAATTCTTACATTGGTAAAGTTATGGCAAGGAAAATAACTCCAAAAGTGGCGGTTGTATTTTTGAAAGTTACGATCGCTTTATGTTTTTCATGGCCTCCTCCAAAGACCGCTAGTAGATTTCAAGTTATACGTTTCAAAACTTTGCGTTTCTTGTTCTGCATGAATGTGACAGTATTGCTTGTGCCTGTGATATATACTTTTTATAATAATGACTACGATTTACCGAAACTAACGAAGCTGTCGTGCTTACTGGCAGCTTTTGTACAAGTCCTTCTGGAAGTAACACAGTTCGCTCTACAATATGATCGTTTACAAGTAAGAGAAAGCAACTTGAAATTATATCAAACTAATCTTGAGTAAGTCCCCAATCCTATTTTATTCGATACGTCGCGATGAAGATTAAATAAGTTTCTAAAATGATTTAATAAAATAATTTTAATTAAATCATTGTCGGTAAAAACTTTTTATGTAATTTCATCAGTTCTGTGTCAGTGATTTGGTGAGTAAAGCTGTATTTTTGTAAAAACTGTCCTCGTGATCCATTTTTCAGATTCGACGTGTCTGATACAATTTTCAAAATTTTTTCCAAAACTTAGATCGTACAAATTAAAGACAGTAATACTTTCCACTTTAGATGTAACGATCTATAATATTACACACAACTAGCGTTAAGCGTATTTGTTCCTGCAGTCGATCGGGCATTACATGACTGTAACCAATGCAAGATGCAGTGCTTTCACTTAAAGTGGAAGACTGCTGTTTTTGATTGTACAAACAAGATATTATGCATCCTATAACCGAAAGACTGCGTAAAATTGCAGGATTTAACTTCAGAGATGGAACATAGTTTCGAATGCGCGGAAGCGCATGAAAAAGACGTGTATCAACGATACGTCAATAAGTGCATGCCGTTTTACGCAGCCTCTACACTCTCAGTTTTTCTCACCGCGGTTGCAACCGCAGCTATGCCACTAATAACGGTCAATCAGACTTTTCCGACAGAAGCAAGGTATCCCTTCGACGTGGAGCGTGAACCGATCAGGACTATTATCTATGTGCATCAGTTCATCATCGTTTGGCAGTGCTTTTCGGCTGTTTGCCTCGGCAGTTTCGTCGCTATTCTCATATGGTTTACCGCGGCGCGCTTCGACATCTTATCCCAGCAATTTCGCGCAGTTAACGGAACTCGTGAAATTATCATATGTATACGGCAGCATATTAAATTGTTGAGGTAACAGAATGGCGTATGAAAAAATATTTTACATTTATATGTTTTCACACACAAGTAGAATATGTTCTGAGTGTTATTTCAAATCATTGAAATAACATTTTATTTCAAATTATTCAAATGTTATTTCAAATTATTCAAATTAATTGCTCAAAGTTAGTGATGACGATGAAATATCGATGATATATGAAAATATCGATATATTAAATCGATATTTTCTGTTGCACGAAATCCGTACAAATACAAATATTACGTGTTCAAGCCTGTTTGGACGTGACTTGTGGTTTTTTTGGAATATACATTAAATCATTTTCAAAGATTATTAAACTTCATCTACTAACGGATAATAACGATACAACAAACAAATATAATATTGATCAACGGATTGCCGTTGGATATAAGGCTTTGTCAATTTCTTGAAGCTAAATGCTGGGAGAGAGAAAAAGAGAGAAAGGTGGAGGAGAGGGAGAGTATAGTTGCAGGTTAATGAGATCTGAGATTCATGAAATTATAATTATTTGTCAAGACCGATGTCAAATATTGACAAGTCCGACTGTTAAGTAAAGACAAATGTTAGTCTAAATTTCAATTCAGGAATTTCTTTATCATCCACAAGTTCGTTAAACATACGTTACAATTGGAAAAATCCCACATAGAGTATCCGACGATACATATAACATCGATACATATGACATATAAAATCGTCCTACCTTGGAAGATTTTATACGTGTAGATTAGATCAAATTGAACAAAAAATCCCTTTACCATTTTGTAAATGAATACGTAGATTTTTTAGTTATTAATTAAAGAAGATTGACTAATAATTACGTGCAATCGTCTTCGAGTTTTCTTTAGTTAATAACTTTAAATTTATATAGATATTTGTAAAATGATAAAGAATTTGACATACCTGTAAATATATGATGCATCGCTGTTCGCGTCCTGACGTCCTGTCTTCCCGATTCAGCATTCTGCTTCCTGTTGCTTCGCTGGGGATTCCCTCATTGCACTGAGACTTACACCGGGATCGGCATTGACACTCGCGTAAATACGACAAATCGATCAGAGAAAACTGTGTTAATTAATACGATTCCGATTTAATGTTTCAAGAGTTGGCGGAATATTTCAATCACTTACGGAAATGATAACGCACAGATACACATTGGACTGACATGTTCTGACACACTGATGTATAATGATCCTTAGTAACATATATTGATTTCATATACACTTTCTAAACGTATGTAACATTTCATGACTCGTTTGTAAAACGTTTCACAAATGTTTCTGAACGATACACGTTACTTGGGATAGCACGAAATAATCAATCTTCCAGGTACGCTCAAGAGGTAATCGTTGCGATACGCTCAGTTATGTTATCGATAATAATTATTTGCACATGGGCGTTTTTAGCCAGTGGTTTAACAATTATAGGTGTGAGTATTCGTGCTGTCTAATCTAGCATCGCTATATTTTTGACTCCTAAAAAGTGATATAGAAAGATCAGAACAACGCACTTCTCAATAAAATTAAAAGATAACTTTATACGAAAATTATAAGATAACTTTTTACGAATATTTGCGTACTTTACTCATCTCAGTATGCTCATGTTCACAGCAAAGTACGTTAGCAGACAAAACGCAATTCATGATTCTATTAACAGCTGCACTTATGGAAATGTATGCGTGCGCGTGGCCGGCCGATCACTTGATGGACGCTGTAAGTTGTATCTCAAAAGCATAAACTTATGAAAGACATCTGAAAGATGTCTAAAAGAAAAAAGATATTCTACCTTTTTCAGTCTTCCCTTGAAGAACAAAAAATCACGATGACGTGATATTTGTGAAAATATTGTGAATTTTACTCATTTGTGCATCTTTCAGCGATATCTGTAAACAAAACATGGCGTAGGAAGAAATAATAGTTTTTCAGATTTGTTGTAAGATCTAAATATTATCATACTATCATCACGTAAAATATCAAGTACTACATCAAGATAAAAAATATATAAAAATCAAGAAATATTTCCTTGATGGGTACCATTAACATATTTACTTAAATCTACATTCTCTTTATTTAAACCAAATATTATTTATTTAAATCAGGTAAATAATATTTGATATAAATAAAGAGGATGTAGATTTAAATAAATATATTAATGGTACTCATCAAAGAAATATTTGTTGATTTTAATAGAATTTTTCTCTCAGTGTATTTTCCGATTAATTATTTGATATAAGATAGAATACTCTTTAATGATTACTCGATTACATCACTTTGAAATTTATGCATTGTTTACTAGAGTACCGATGTTGCACAAGCAGTATACGATTCATTATGGTATAATGAAAGTGTTACCTTCCAAAGAAATATATGGTTTATCTTACTGAGGAGTCAAACACCAGTGGCCATTTCAGTTTCCTCCTTTCTACCAGCTATATCGTTGAATTATTACGCGTCGGTAATATCTTCGTAATCTGCCATTCTTCCTGTACATCGTCTATAGAGTTACTCTAAGTAGAGTTTGGCCATGACTGCAGCCAAAATCCTACAAGAGAGAAGAATATATTTTCAATTTCTTTGTCTATTTCTCCTTAAATCTGTTGCAATAAGATTACTGTAATTGAATATTGTGTGGGATTTGATAAAACACGGACAAATCAAAATTTGCTTCCTCGTGGCCAAATTCTGCTTAGAGTTACTCTAGAGTAACTCTAACCATTCACGGAATGCTACAACCTCTTGCGAAAAATCAAGAATTATAGATATAATCTCGTGTTAAAATAAAGTATATAAAAAACTAAAATGAACACTAGCCTCTGGCAGAAAATGTAACATTCTGTAAGACGAAAATCATCTCTAAATAGTATCGCTATTTTTATCTCACTAACATACTAAGTACGAGGGCTGTATGATAAGTACCCGTGTTAGGGAAGGAAAAGCATTTAAAAAAATTTTTTTTACTTATTTTTTTTACTTATTTTTCAACATAGTCTTCTTTCAGCTCGATACCCTTAATCCAGCGATATTTCAACGTTTTTATACCATCCAAAAAATATGATTTGTCGAACTCCGCAAAATAGGCCTCTGTTTCGGCGATGACTTCCTCGTTTGACGTGAACCGCTTTTCGCCAAGCCATTTTTTCATGTTTGGAAATAAATAGAAATCGCAAGGGGCCAAATATGGAGAATAGGGTAGATGAGACAGCAATTCGTAGTGTAATTCGACCAGTTTTGCTATGGCGATTGCGAACGAATGAATTGGTCATGAAGCGTTGTCATGATGAAAGAGCACTTTTTTCTTCGCCAAATGAGGGCGTTTTCTCTTCAATTCAACGTCGAATCGACCCAATAAATTAGCATAGTTTTGTCCCGTGATTGTCCTTCCCTTCTCCAAATAGTCGGTGAAAATGATGCCTCGCGAATCCTAAAAAACGATGGCCATGATCTTTCCGGCTGATGGAACCGTTTTTGGAGCAAGTTCGCCGGGTGAAGTCCACTGTTTTGACTGTTCTTTCGTTTCTGGCGTGTAGTGATGGATCCATGTTTCGTCAACAGTGACGAAACGTCGCAGAAACTCTTTCGGATTGCGCTTAAACATGTCCAAACAGTGCTCCGAAGTTGTCATGCGATTCCGTTTTTGTTCCATTGTGAGCAAATGCGGCATCCATCTCGCCGATAGCTTTCTTATGCCCAATTTTTCGTGTAGGATATTTTGTACGCGTTCAATTGAGATATTTCAATGTCAGCAATCTCTCTGATCTTCACCCGGCGGTCTGCTAACACGATATCATGGATTTTGTTGACCATATCCTCCATAATCACCTCAATCGGACGATCTGGACGCTCTCCATCAAAAACGAATGTTCGGCCACGCTTGAATTCATTGAACCAATAACTGATGGTAGTCATCGAAGATGCATGGTTCTTATAAACGGCATGCAACTTCACTTTGATTTCCTCACATGTCTTCCCATCTAAAAAAAGAATCGAATCACTGATCGATATTGCACTTTGGTAATTATTTAGTTTAGCGGCCTCACCTCCGATTTCGATGAAAATAGACTCAATCGATGCGTTTTTGCATATCAAATAACTTTTTCCTATGACAAAATCGTCGCTCTCTACTGCGAAGCGAGATATTAATAGATAAAGTTGAGGGCGTGTTAGGTTAGAAAATCTGTCATACCATCTATCTCTAGCTATGTAACTGGAGGGCTTCGCCCCCCAGCCCCCCGTAACACGATAGGGTGGGAGTTACAGTCTTTTGTGAGAAATTCACTCTTTAGCTTAAGCATAAGAGACTATAGCTCCCACCCCCCGTGATAGGGGGGTCTGGGGGGCGAAGCCGCCCAGTTACATAACTAGAGATAGATAGTATGATAGATTTTCTAACCTAACACGCCCTCAACTTTGTCTATTAATATCTCGCTTCGCAGTAGAGAACGACGATTTTGTCAGAGGAAAAAGTTATTTGGCATGCAAAAACGCGTCGATTGAGTCTATTTTCATCGAAATTGGAGGTGAGGTCGCTAAACTAAATAATTACCTGCACTTTTTCCATGGTTGTAAACAAACACAAACTTGCCCACTTTCAATAGTTATCAAAACAAAATTACTCGATAAATCTGTCTGAAATTTTGACTGGCGTCATTCGAAAAATGGCGTTAAACGATGGTATACAGTAGTCACTCTAATCAGTTTGCACAATGCGCAGTTTCGTCAAGATCTTGCGAAAAAGAGAGATATATTTTCAATTTCTCTCTTTGTCTATCTTTTCTTAACCTAACCCAACCTGCCATAGACGTAGTGTGATTGGATACTGTGTGGGATTTGACGAAACATAGCGGACTCAGAAGGTTCTATCTTATAGCCAAACTCTGATTATAGAATCTCTAATATACCCAGATAGCACAAGATCTCCTGAGGACGTCCTAAGGACGTCCTGAGGACGAAGAATGTCCTCAGGATGCCCTCAGGATGTCCTCTGGATGTCCCCTGGACATCTGTGCTATTAGGGATATTGTAGAGATCCTATAATCCGAGCCATAAGATAGAACCTTCTGATTGTTCCGCTAATGTCGTCCACAGTATCGTATACAGTATCCAATCACAGTACGCCTATGACAGTAGGTTAGGTTAGGTTAGGTTAAGAAAAAATAGAGATTGAAAATATCTTTCTCGCAGGTCTTGACGAAACCATGCGTTGTGGTCAAACTTTGATTAGAGTGATTCTAGTATACAAACTTCGAGTCAGTGACTCTATCAGTCGTTAAACACGGGTACTTATCATACAGCCTTTGTAGTACATGTACGCGTTATTTTTTCATTGAAAAAAAAAAAAAAAAGTTAAAATAAAACTTTATTTTTCCTAAGCTTTTTGAATTTTCCTCAACGTGAAATTAATTACAGAGTAGAATGAAAATTACTATAAGTACGCATTTTTGTTTAGCATAAATTTTTTAAAATTCGTAAAATCTTAATTGCTTTATACACTTATTGCATTTTTTATACTTTGATATTAATTAAGTTCCAACGTGTTCCAACAAGTTCATTAGTCAGTTTTAATATAATGTAATTCATTACAATTTAGCATGTCCTTGTTGGAAAATAGTCGTTGAAGTGGGAAAACATTGACGTTATTATTTTACATATTTCAGTTTGTATCAACAGCTTTCTCTTATTTAATGACATTACGAGTAGTATTTCTGGAGGACGACGCAACTAAAGATTAAATTTCACAGTTGCATACATTTCGCGCGAAATAGTATTACTAGTAAAATTAATTAATATTAAAATTACTAGTAAAATTAACTTAATTACTAGTAAAATTAACTTAATTTCTAGTAAAATTAACTTAATTACTAGTAAAATTATAATACTGTTTTGTACAAAAGAACACAACCAACATGTTGTTAGCCAAAGCGGAATGATAGTTATATTTATCTCTTTAAATAAATGTTAATTAATGTATAAAAAATTATAAATGTATTAATTAATAAAGATATAAAAAATAAATATAATGTCAAAATGTTAACTGAAAAGTGAGAATTGATTAAATATATATTTATCAAAATTTTTAGTGGAATCCTTAAATAAAGCGTCTATAAAAACCAATATATTGTTGGCTTTTATAGTCGTTTTATTTTTGTATTTTAGTTGAATATCACAGTGATTTGTCTAATTAAAAAATTTTGCAACTTGTACATACCGAAAGTGTGGGTGCTTCAAACAGAAAAATTTTGAAAAATGTGTAATACAGTGTTAATTTAAAACAATTCAGTAAAATTTTCTATAAAACGAATTCAACATGAAAAGAAATAGCAAATAAACTATACCACAGTCTTTTATAAAAATGGCGATTTCCGTTCAATGCTATATATATTGGTCGTGTTGCTGATTTTTGTTTCTCTGTATGATACAAAGATGAATATAATAAATTCAGTACTATCCACGATAATCGTGCAAAACAATTTCCCATAAAAATCGATACATTATCATATTTCTTTTTACCTTACATCTAAAGCTTTCGTAATATCCGTGTTATAAATAAGTATACCACTTTCAACTACGTACCGACTAAGAAATAATCGAATAGACTAAAGTGTGTGCCGTATACATATTCAATGAACACAATATACATCTCTTCCCATAAAATTGTTACGCGTGCAAATTACAAGGTATATTGTGTAATCATGCTATTATACATTAAATATTTATATATTATAAGTTAGCAATAGAGTGTAACTTCGACAGAGAAAACATAACATAAAAAGCAATCGAGAACGAATGTAGAATTCTTACATTGATAAAGTTTGACTATGGCATGGAAGATAACTCCAAAAGTGGCGATTGTAGTTTTGAAAGTCACGACCGCTTTATGCTTTTCATGGCCTCCTCCAAAGACCGCTAGTAGATTTCAGGTCATACGTTTCAAAATTTTGCGCTTCTTATTCTGCATGAATGTGATAATACTGATTGTGCCTGTGATATACACTCTTTATTATAATGACTATGATTTAGCAAAGATAACGAAGCTGTGGTGCTTATTGGGAGCCTTTATACAAGTCCCTGTGGAAATAACACTGTTCGCTTTACAATATGATCGTTTGCAAGTAAGAAAAACCAATTTGAAACCATATCAAATTGATCTTGAGTAAGTTTCCCCAATCCTATTTTACTCCATACGTCGCGATGAAGATTAAATAAGTTTCTAAAATGATTCAACAAAATAATTTTAATTAAATCATTGTCGGTAAAAACTTTGTATTTAACTTCTTTGTCCGTTTTGTGTTAGTGATTTGGTGAGTAAAGCTGTATTTTTGTAAAAACTGTTCTCGTGATCCATTTTTCAAGTTTGATGTGTCTGATACAATTTTAAAATTTATTTGTAAGCTTAGATAGTACAATTAAGGACAGTATTATTTTATACTTTAGGTGTAACAATACTACACACAACCAGCGTTGAGTATTTGTTCCTGCAGTTAACCGGGCTGTATACTACCGCAAATCCAATGCATGATGTAGTGATTTCACCTAAAATGAAAGATATTACTGCTTTTGATTGTACAAACTAGATATTATGTAGCCTATAATCGAAAGACCGTGTAAAATTGTAGGATTTAATTTCAGAGATGGAACATAGTTTCGAATACGCGGAAGCGCACGAAAAAGACGTATATCAACGATACACGAATAAGTGTGTGCCGTTTTACGCATTCTCCATATTTTCGGTTTTTCTCACCGCGCTTGCAACAGTAGCTGTACCTCTGATAACGGTCAATCAGACTTTTCCAACAGAAGCAAGGTATCCTTTCGATGTGGAGCATGAACCACTCAAGACTATTATCTTTCTGCATCAGTTCATCGTTGTTTGGCAGTGCTTCTCGAATGTTTGTCACGGGGGTTTTATTGGTATTCTCATATGGTTTACTGCAGCGCGCTTCGAGATCTTATCCCAGCAATTTCGCGCAGTTCGCGGACCTCGTGAACTCATCACTTGTGTACGGGAGCATATTAAGTTGTTGAGGTAAAAGAACGGTTTATCAATATGTATTTTGCACTTGTAAGTTATTTCGGATGTTTTCACACACAAGCAAAGTATGTTCAGGCAGCGTATCACGGTTCTATGTGAGAAGTGAAAATGCGAAAAGTAAATTCACTCGATGTTGACTAATGAAATTATTAATATTTTAGCAAATTCGCTCACTTTTTGCATCTTCATTTCTCACACAGAGCCGCAATAAGCTCCCCGGATGTTATTTCAAATTATTTCTTATAATTATTTGTCAAATAACAAACGACTGCAAACATTGGTTTAAATTCCAATTTAGGAATTTCTTTATCATCGACAAATACGTTAAACATACATTATAATTGGAAACATTTTACTTTGCATGTCCGACGATGACATATAAAACTTTTGTGTACATGTAGATTAAGTCAAATTAAACAAAAAATTCTTCTATGATTTTGTAAATAATTACGCAGATATTTTTTAGTTGTAAATTTAAAAAATTTTCCAACTGATCGCATGCGATTACTTTAAAATTTTTTTATTTAAGAACTCCAAATTTACGTGCAATATGATAAAGGATTTGATCTACCTGTAAATATGTATATGATGTATCGCTATTCGTATCCTGTCTTCCCGATCCAGCATTCTACTTCCTGTTCGCCGCGAATTTTTACATTGCACTGAGACTTACACAGGCACTAACACTCGCGCAGATACGACAAATCGATCAGAAAAATCTACGTTAATTAACATGATTCTGATTCAATGTTTCAAGTGTTGACTAAATATTTCAATCACTTAACGGAAATGATAACGCACTGAACCGACATGTTCCGACACATTGTTGTATAATGATCGTTGGTAGCACATATTAGTTTCATATACATTTTCTAAACATACCCAGATAGCCAAACTGCGCGAACAGATTTCAAGCAGAGCTTGCTATCAACTTTTGATGGCAAATAGATAACAAATTTGATGCAGGATCTGTTATATCAAATCTTGCTGCCAATATCTTGTCGCCAGATATGCGGCAGAGCTTGTTGTCGGATAATTGCTGTAGATTTGCAGCAAAAACTGCGCAGAGCTTATAGCGATTTGACGGCAGATTGACGGCAGAAACCGCGCAGACCTTGCTGCGCTGCAAGTTTTGCGTGGTTTTTGCTGCAAATTTGACACCAATTGCCCGACAGCAAGATCTGTCGCCAAAACCGTAGCCTAATGTAGACACAGATGGCTATGGTTTTGCTGTGGGTTTTTGATCAAATTTGCTGCCAATCTGTGCGCAGTCTGCGCTCAATTTGCTTACTGGGTATGTAACGTTCCATGACCGTTTGTAAAACGTTTCGGAAACGTTTCTAAATGTACGTTTCTACGTACTACTTGGGATAGCACGAAATAATCAATCTTTCAGGTACGCTCGAGAGATAATCGCTGCAATTCGCTTAGTTATGTTATTGATAATAATCATTTGCTCGTGGGTGTTTGTAGCCAGTGGTTTAACAATTATAGGCGTGAGTATTTGACTCACTATAAAGTACAAAAAGTACAAAAAGGAGATCAAGACAATGCAATCTTCAATAAAATTCAAGCATAACTTCATATGCAAATATTGGCGTACTTATCTCAGTATACATATATTCGCAGCGAACAACGATAGCAGACAAAACGCAATTCATTATTCTATCAACAGCTGCACTTATGGAAGTCTTTGCTTGCGCGTGGCCAGCTGATTACTTGATGGACGCGGTAAGTTATATTTCGGACAGAATAAACTTCTGAAAGATGTCTTAAAGATGCCGAAAAGAAAAAAAAAATACATCATACCTTCTTTTAAGCGTTTCTTTGTGTGTTTTCGAAGTTTGTGCTGTCGGGGATATTTAGTTCATTTTCCTTCAAGTTACGTAGCTGGGAAAAGGGGACTTGGTTTACAATTACATAGATATAATTAGGTGGAATGAAATATCCCAAATATTTTGCAGAAATATGTCCTTGGTGAATTACGTCAAGGTTTATGGTATTTTGATAAAGTAACTGCCTTACCTCACAAGAGGTTGTTGTAACATTTTCTCTTGAAAATTTATTGTTGCATTATTCCCAATTGTGGCAGAAGTTCCTCGACTGCGCCATGTTTGTGTCAACTTTTGAATATTACTGAAAAAAAGATAAAATTGACTTGTTTATACATATAATCATTATCAATGCATCATTATCAGTATATCATTATTCACTCTTACAGAATTTTTTCTTATGTAAAATACAATGATGAATACTGTCCTTATTTATAATTCTTGTGTATCACATTATTTTGTAAATTATGTGCATGTACTAACCCGTCATTTTCTAGAAAGTCATGTCAGCTTCAATACACCAAAAAATAATAGGAAAATAATTCGAATTTTAATATTTTTATATTTGTGAAAATATTGTGGATTTTACTTATTTGTTTATCCTTCAGCGATATTTGTAAACAAGCATGGCGTAGAAAGAATAGTTTTTCAGATTTGTTGTAAGATTTTAATATTATCGATAATTGTTCAGAAGAGCTACCTCATCTCCGATTTCGGTAAAAATAGACTCAATCGACGCGTTTGTGCATGCCAAATAACTTTTTCCTCTGACAAAATCGTTGCTCTCTACTGCGAAACGAGATATTAATAGACAAAGTTGAGGGCGTATTAGGTTAGAAAACCTGTTATACTATCTATCTCTAGCTATGTAACTAGGGGGCCTCCCAGACCCCCTATCACGGAGGGTGGGGGCTATAGTCTCTTGTGCTTAAGGATGCATCTGAGATACAATCGGTGACAAAAGTGCTTGAAAAACGAAAAATTTGAATATCTGCTTCAAACGTATTGTAAACCTAGTGATAAGTGATATAAATAGTGGCTAACATAATATATTTTTATTTAAAAAGTTATTTTTTACTTTCTCAACAGTTTATTACTTTTATTTGCTTTTCTTCACCTTTCTATAATAAAACTTTTGGCAGGGAAAATGCCCTGAATTCAACTTTAGAACATTAAATTTCGTGTTTATTTAACATCAATATCCATCAGTGCAAAGGAGAAAAAGTAATTGGAATAAGTTAAAACAGGTAAATATGCATTGTCTGAACAATAACTATCAATATTATTTATTGTTATTATAAATATTTAATGAAAAAAGTTAAACGTAGCAACAGCGTACCATGTAGTTTGTGGCTTGTATGTTGGCAGTAATGCACTGTCCTGGCAGGTTAGATGAAACAATAAAAGCTTCAAATTTTACACTTATCCTATTGTTCATCGAAATTATTTAATTTATATTCTTGTCCTCTGCATGAAACAATGCAGACAAAACAAGAATTTACAACATAACTTTATTATACTGATTTATAGGTTATTCATTTGACATTAGTTGATTGCAACATTACCGCATTTCCAGTTACTAACTTCTTATGACAATCGCAAAATTGTCACAAATAAAAATTAATTTCTATGAAACCGTTATGAAAACTAATCAAATTCCGCAAATTCCGCAAGTTCCGATAATTCAGGATTTATATGTATAAAAATACTTAAATTTTTGGTACTATTTTTTCTATACGTTTTTACTCTTCACATTCAGGAAAGTTGCTTTTGCCATAAGAACACGTGTAAAATTAACATAATTACTCTTCAACGGTTTAATGAATCGACTTGAAATTTTTTTAGTATATTATAGATAATTAAGAAAAAGTTACCCAAAGTTTTATCAAATAGGTACTATTTTTATATAGCTCAGATACATCCTTAAGCTAGAGTGAATTTCTCACAAAAGACTACAGACCGTGATAGGGGGGGGGGGGCAAGAGGG